CTTCAAATAAATAATTCATTAGGCAGTATTGAAATAAATATACTTATTCGAATTCAATAAATTTTATTTTCAGTGCAGGATATTAAAAATATGAAGGGTCGGAAGTCGACTCGGAAATTCTTGCGTGAAAAAAAATGACTAAATTAATATATTTATTTGAATACTCCTAATGAATTATTTATTTAAAATAAATATAATATTTGTTTTGAAAAAGATTTTCTTATATCAAATAAATACTTTTCATATCAAATCAATATTATTAGCTTCAAATAAATAATTCATTAGGCAGTATTGAAATAAATATATTTATTCGAATTCAATAAATTTTTTTTCAGTGCAGGATATTAAAAATATGAAGGGTTGGAAGTCGACTCGGAAATTCTTGCGTGCGAGAAGAAAGTCGAAACGCGGCTAAAATAAGCGGCGGGAAAATTGCGGCGACCCCTTGGGGTGGAAATTGCATTCCTTCGCGCGCGAGTCGCGATAGGGGACGCTCGATTTCTTCTCGTTTCCGCGGTGTCGTTGAGTAAATTCACGCGGTCACTTCGAGGATGTGGATTAAGGACGTGTATTATAATAATTATACGGCGCGACACACACAAGGGCTAAATGCGAGAGTCGCTGTAATGCGGCCGCATTAGCCACCGGAAGTGCGGTAAGGGTAGTGGTGGAATACAAAACGAATACTTGCTTGAAATTAAAAGCACCTACTAAAAAAACGCACTTTCTCTCTCTCTCTCTCTCTTTGCTCCCCGGCTGCGTAATGTAATTATTTCTAACGACGCGTAATTACAGGTGCATTTACTTACACACGCGGATATTTATCTCGACACGAGTAAAGCTCGTTTACAATCGTAGTTATATACATATGCATGTATATAGAATATATACGTATATATATATGCGCGAGAGATACGTAAATTTTATTTATTTTTATATATATTTAAAATCCCTTTAAAAGCGGGAAAATATATACGGGCGATTTTATACGCAAAACCCTTTCTTTATATCAAATGTTCTCTGTAAACAATTTTGCACAATTTTAGAAATCGCAATTCCGTGTTTGTATATATTTTAGAATTATATGTGTATTTTCCCTCGCGCGCGAGTCGAAATTATTGCTGTCATTTTCCACCTCATTTTTCTCACTCGTGATTTATGGATTCTAAAGATTTTCGATAAATTTAATTCAGATCGAAATTCGCTCATCCCTTCTTTGTATCTCAAATAGGCAATAAATAAATAACTTCCCACTTAGAACTTTAAAAATAGTGTACGGTAAAAGTATGAATTGAATGGATTCAAAAGAAAATGATGTCAAATAAAATATTAAAACAAAATTAAATAGAATCAAAAGGCTCGCACAAGATGAATAAATCACAGATTAAAATAAGAAATCAAGAAAATTAAATTGACTCGACGTGAGAATAAAATAATACCCTGATTGAATCTAGTTCCATTATCACAATAATAAATAATGCTTTAATATAATATATATTTTATTAAATAATTTTATTACACTGAAAAAAAATTATTAAATTAATAAATATTTATTTCAATACTGCCTAATAAATCATTTATTTGAGATAAATAAATATTCTATTTGAAAGGGATTTCCTCGGATTTTCCTATATCAAATAAATTTTTTTTTTTCACATCAAATCAATATTATTAGTTTCAAGTAAATGATTTATTAAGCAGTATTGAAATAAATATTTCTTCAAATTTTCAATCAATTCTTTTTTCAGTCTAATAATACAATACAATATAATAAATAATAAATAATGAATTTTAGTATTACATATATATATTACTAAAATTATTATTTAACGATTATTAAATTAATTATTTATTATATATCATATTACATAATAATAATAAATTTTTATAATATATATCACATTATATAATAATATAATATATGATATGTGATTAATAATAATATGATTAGCACGTATCGCCTGCTGAACTTTTCTCATTTTTGCGCCGTCACGCGGCGCTATCCCGGAATGTTTTCCACCACCTTCGTTCTCACCCTCAATTTGCGTAAGTGCAAAAGGATTCCAAGGTTCTTTGCCCGGCACCCTTTTGCCCCTTCTCTTGCTCGCAGCTGATGTTTTGTTCATTATCTAAGTAGCGGTCGCAGGAATTTACGATTGTCCGGCCGCGTGTTCGCGCTTGATTGTCCGCAAATTACATACGCACCCTTCCACCCCTCCCACCCCCACCCCCTTCTGCATGTAATATGCGTGTACCTGCCGAGGGATTCCATGATGTATGACGGTCCGGTCAAAGTTTGCGCCGAACGCTCGTTAGACAAGGAGCTATGGGGATGAAAGTTGCTCTCGGAATAACGCGGCAACTTTATGACGGAGGGAGAAGAAGGGTTGTCGTCCCAAAATTTATCAGCTAAAACTCGATTCGCGTTATCCATGCATGTATCTGTCATTAGATAGATCGGCACGGAGAGACAAAGCGATATATAATACGTCTAATTTTGATAGATATAATATTAATAATAAAATATAATATATAATATTAAAATATAATATATATATAATATAATATTAATAATATTAATAATATTAATAAAAATTAATAATATTAATAATAAAAATTATAATGATAATAATTATTATTTTTATTATTTATAAATTATTATTAATACACTGAAAAAAATGTTATTGAATTCGAAAGCGATATATAATACGTCTAATTTTGATAGATATAATACTAATAATAAAATATAATATATATATATATATAATATTAAAATATAATATATAATATAATATTAATAATATTGATAAAAATTAATAATATTAATAATAAAAATTATAATGATAATAATTATTATTTTTATTATTTATAAATTATTATTAATACACTGAAAAAAAATGTTATTAAATTCGAATAAATATTGTATTTATTTCAATACTGCGTAAATCAATCACTCATTTGAAATAATATTGATTCGATATGAAAAATATTTATTTTTGATATAAAAAATCCTTTTCGAAACAAACAAATATTTAATTATGTCTATCAAATAAATGATTGATTAGGCAGTATTGAAATAAATATTTATTAATTTAGTAATTTTTTTTTCAGTGTATTATTTATTATTATTATTGTTGTATTATTGTTATAAAAATATTTTGAATTTTCTTTCTTCGGTCCCCACTTATTTGCACTTCCTAGATTTTTCAAGTCCATTTTATCTCGTTATCGGAAATGTAATGAAAAATTAAGGCATCGAGAAAGGGAGTACATTCGAACTTCAATAAGTAAATGGAAGGATTATATAGAGTTTCATTTTCAGGAAATTTAACTTCCAGCTAAAATGATCGAAACACGAAGAAGATGGAAAAGAGAGAGAGAGAGAGATCCTCAATCAAATTGTTGGTATAAGAATGGAATTAACTTCAAATTTATGAGGAGATTTCTCAGGTGACTTTTGGCATGTAATGCATATATTTAAACTAATTTCAAGAATAGGTTTGCGAAAATCAGCGTTATTTAATGAAAAAGAACAGCGGAAGGAAGGAAAGAGTAATCTATATGGAAACTCTTCGACGACCTCGGTCAATCAACCTAATATTTCCATCAATCGGGGAATAATATATCGTCCGGATTAGCGTCTGAAGTTCCGAATCGAAATTTTATTAATCGGCCCTTATCGTTCACTTGAAGCTCCAGGAATAATTAATTGTCTGATCGCTCGAAGTAAATTCATTCAGCTGTGCTTAACGGAGTAAAGTAAAAGAAATCGATATCATGCACTATTCAGCTCGTAATTATCTTCGAATTTAATGGTTTTTTCCTCGCTATTTTTTTTGATTTCCAGAAATTACTTTGAAACGTCAGAGTATTGATTTTCATTTTGTTCGTTCGTCTCATATATATATATATATATGTACTGTTGTTCCGCGCATATTTTACGTAGATTTTGATTAACTTGAAATTTAATCAAACTGTACATAAAATATCTACTTGTAGAAGTGAAGAAAGTTTCAGAAATGCTCGTTTCTCGATCACGAGATACGCCGCGTTATTTCTTAACTTTAATTTTTTATTTAAAAAAAATAATAACTTATTCATTTTTTTTTGCTGTAATAAACTTTTTTCTATCATCGTAAAACAGGAATCTTGCTGAATTAATTAGTTGACACGATATTACCTTCCTCGTAGACATTTAATTAAATATTTATTGAGCTCGATGTCACGTAATGAAACTTTTTTTATTGAGCCCTTCAAAAGATTAATCCTAAATTTTAAATATCGTGTTCGAAATACATCTAAGATCACAGCATCATGAATATGAACTGCATTGAAATCATTATAAAGCATAGAAATCATTCAAAAAGAATATTGAAAAGATCACTTAAAATTGTAAGTGATTTTATTTTATTTGAGTGTTAATTATATAATTAAAAAATATAATTTATAATTATATAATTTTATAATTTTAGTTTTAAAATTATATAATTTTATATGTATTTATAATTATATAATTTTAAATTTAATTACAATTAATGAAGGCAAGATTGATAATTTATAAGAATTTTAATTCATAAAATTAAAAAAACATTTACACACAAATTAAATAAATAACTTAAATTGCGCGCTGATTTCATTCTTTCAATCTTGCGTGTAAAAAGCATTTAAAATTCTATAAATCCAATTTTTCGAAATAATTTTGTTTTTCAATTATATTTAATTATAAATATGTATATATATGTCAAATATGTAATAAGTGTTTATTCAAAATTGTTATACACTTTACACATATTATTGTGTTTATTAATATGAATTAGCAGAGGTATTAAAATATTAATGAAAATTAAATGTGTACAATTTTATGTGAGCTTTTCAGAGCATCACGTATAAAACATTTATAGGGGAAGAAATATATCCGATTAAACGATACAAAACTCGTAAAGAGAAAAAGAGAGATTTTTCTATTGAAATTTACATTATATACATAATATAAACTGCACAATTATGCTCTTTATATACAATACATTTTTATTTCTCTTCAGTAAAGATGTACGTCCTAAGCTTTCTAAGCTTATAAGAATGACATGAGAGTTGTTGACTGACACATGTGTAGAAAGAGAAAATGTGAGACTATAAACAAGCAATATTCATGTTACCGAAATTATTAATTATAATTATATATGCGTGTTTAAATATAAAGTATACGAGAATGATATCTATATCGAGCATTAGATTATGGTAAAATTCTGACTTTCTTCATTATAACTGATTATATATAATTACAATAGAAATTACAACGGAAAAATATAACAATTTCAAAGTGTTTTATCTAATGATTAATACAGTATATTACGAATTATCGCTATAATTTTTATATTTGCTTGTATAAAAAAGTGAGATTTACATGCTTTCTTCGATGTAATATTCCAGAATCCTTACACTCTTGAGCAATATTTTAGTCGTCGGAATGATACATTTTTTTGAACAATCATTTCCTGTGACGTATACACAAAAATCATGTCCCTGCATATTCTGACATTTTACGAATCGCAAATTTAAATGTCAATGTAAGACCTTACTTCAAAAATTAAAATTGCTGAAACAATTTCACACTTTATTTAATATAAATTTGCTTAAACATATTTCGCTGATGATATCAGTAAAAGTGTAATTCATTAAGAGAGTAACAGTATTTTTTCAATCGATTTATGAATTTCAGACAATTATGTTATTATTGTTCTTATCTATGTGTGTCGTATAAAAAAAATACGTTTCAATTACGTTCTTGTTTCTCCTTGTTCGACTCTCTCGCATGCAATTCGTGATAAATAACTTTGCGATAAATTTTCGCGATATACGCGCAAATTGCTTATATTGTACACGCTAAAACTAGGAAAATCTTATAAATATTTCTGTGTACATATGTATGCTCCATACATTCGGCACTGCCTTTATATGTATTTTGCTCGCCACACATCGATAATCTCTGTAACACAATTAACAGATTAAATATTAAATTAGAGGGATTGCAATTTCTATATATTTTTCCAATGTAAAAAGTCGTCGCTTTTTTCATATAAATATATATAAAAAAATTAACTAATTAATTAATTAAATACATTTAAAAATAAATAAAAATAAAATAATAAATTATTATTGTAACAAATAATAATTTATAAATAAATTTATACCTATATACATACATTATTTTTTATCACTTTTATTAATATATACATATGTTTATATTTTATTATGCATATGAGCGCATGTAAAATAAATTCACATATAGCTTTGAGGAATAATCGACTCTCTCTTTTCATTATTTTCCGCAACAAATATTGTATATAACAGATTTTTAAATTACATAAAATACACCTGTAATATTTACATGCACAGCACTTTTCACGAATTTACGCGCGCATTTTTAAAGCTGTTGCGCGTGATGCAATGTGCTAAAATTTATGTTACAGCTTTTCTAAGTCGACGAATTAGAGATCTCCGAACTGCTTGTTAGACTTTATGTAAATTTCCGATAATATTTTGGCATTAAATAGAATTAGGAAGTTTCGGCGTATGAATATACACGGCTACTTTAGTAAGCCTCCTCAGTTTACGTAACAAGGAATTAACATAATATGCCGCAAATAACATCAACTAGTAACAAGTGCGTGTTTCGTTCAAGACAAAATTCGAAAAGTTAATTTGGGATACATTCCCGACTTCCGATCCCGAGAAATTTATCTCTTGAAACGTAATTTCTGGCGAAAAAAAAATTCGTATACCACGATGGACGAACGTTTTTGATGGAAAATAACGCTCCGGTTAATTACTGGACCGTGATATGTGCGGAGGATTTTTCTTCTTAACTTGACTCGAAAAAACAAGCATTCGATGGCATTTGATCATCGGAAAAAATAATACCTACATATCGCGCGAGCCGCTCGGTTTTTCCATCGAGCTGATGGACGTTTTTCAACTGATTGATGTGGATAAATAATGAAGTCCGCGGGCTACCGCGAGCTATTCCGTTATGTAAATTCGCCCGGCTGTGTAAAATAATTGAAACGCGCCAAACCATACCAGAGGTATATTGTAACTATGCGCGCGATCGGACGTGTATAAATCCTCGATCTAAATTAGAAATTTACGAAGGCAATGGCGTGGATAATTAGAACGCACATGTATGACAAACTAACTATGTATATACATATATGTATATTACAGGGATTTTGTTTTATAAGAATAAATTGAAGACTCCAAAATTTACAAAATCAGGTATGAAAAAAAATTAGTCATAGCTAAATTTTAGCTCTGGTAATTAATATTTTTTTAACTATAATTAAACGGAGAATTATATAAAAAATATTAGCTATTATAGGTAAAATTTAGCTATAGGTATAGTAACTAATTTTTTCCCGTGGATTAATATACTAAAAAAAACTGTTAAATTAATAAATATTGATTTCAATACTGCCTTATTTAATCATTTATTGAGAACAAATAAATAAATATTTATCTGATTTGAAAAAGATTTTCTTATATCAAATAAATATTTTTTCACACTAAATCAATATTACTAGTTTCATATAAATATAATTTATAAGGCAGTATTGAAACAAATATTTATTCGAATTTAATACATTTTTTCGAGCCACGTATGTATAAGACGCAACAAACTTGTTTTTAAAGTCTTCTCTAATTATTTTGAACCCAATCGTTCAAAAAATTAATTTAGAAAATTCTTATATAATATAAAATTTAATATATAAGTTTGAAAAGGTCTAATCAGAGCCAATCACAGATATATAAGGTGTCACAAAGTTGTTTTTTATGAACAGTCAGTTCAAAATAATTAGAGAAGAATTATATACATACATGTATATATAATAAATCAAATATATAAATTTGAAGAAAGAAATATATACGGATAGAATCTTTTAAATCCAAGTTCAAAATCAAGGTAATTTTTCAATGCGCCCAAATTTTATAAAACAAATATAATCTGCATTCATTTATGTAACAATGACAACACGATAATTGACGCAAAGTATCTATTATTTTTTTGTGTGACTGTAATATAAAAAAATTGTCAAGTTATAATATAATTTCAAGTTTCGTGCTCGAAATTTTTCGATGCAACTATCTGCGCGATGCAATTGCATATCATTAAAATGCTATCGAATATGTTTTGCATGATTATGCGTCATATTTCTACATAGCTTTGATTTTAAGCCGCAGGCATTACAAAACTGCGCTTTGTGTAAAATTGGTCATTGTAGTTGATCATAATGGCTTTCAACGGTTGTATTACGCGCGACACAATGGAAATTTACTACAAAGCGTAAATCTACAGCTACAAAGCCTTCATTAATTTATCGTATATAAAACGCGCGATGATTTCTATGAATTAGCTCCGTTAAAGACGCTTATGACTCGTTCATAATGCATATAAACATATAATACGTAACGTAACAATTGACTAAAACTTCTTTCATTTGCCGCATTTTTCGTGCAAAGTGCGTGCGCATGTGCGTGTAAAAGAATATTCTCTTTCTTTAAAGTTTTCATAAACATATGCATCATTAAATAAACACATACATAATTTTAAATAATTTTAATCTAAAGGTAAAGATCTTTAAATTATATTTGTTTATATCTCTATAAGCTTGCAATTTTATTGATTCAAAAATAATGAAAGAGATTTAGCTGTCTCTCTGTATTCTCTCTTTATTCACTTTATTTTTATTTTTCAGAAAATTGAAGGAGCTAATAAATGATCGGGATTAATAAAATAATATGAAAAATGTAGGGGTTGTAAAGTACGTAATAATATTTTCAACCATTTTTGGAACTTTTCTTTTTTATCGAGAAATTTAATAATTATTAAATTTCTCGATATATATTTCTCTTTATATTATTAATAATAATAATTTAAAAAATGTAATGTATATGAAAAATCAGAGCATAACGTGCAATTATAAAATTTATCAATTATTCAAAAACAAAGAGATCCTTTCAATAAATCTATTTCAGATTTAATAAGAAAGCTAATACATGAACATTTTTTAATAAATTAAATTATATTTAATATTTTTCACAGTAATATTGAAATATTCGAGATTTCATTATTATAATTGATAAGTATTTCGCATATTTTGATATTTTGATTATACTATAGATTTAAGTTAATTTAAGTTAAGATATCTCAGCGTAGTTCTAAGAGGTAATGTAATTTAATTTTAATTTTAGTTTAGTTTAATGGATGCAAGGACTATTAATAATAAATAATATTAATTGATATTTATACGAAAAAATATAATTATTTTTTACTTTTGTTTGAAAATATTCTGTCACATAATATAAATGTATATATATATATATATTTTTTTTTTTATTGTCTTACATATATTCTATATATAATTTATATTTTATATATAATTCTATATAAAAATGTTTTTAATTTTTTCTCAAAAAAAAAAATATATATATATTTGTTTTATATACATATATCTAATACTTATAATATGTACCTATTGCGGCAGCTAATTCGCGGGACGACCTCACGTGCTGTTCCTGGTGATGCAGGGTGCGCAGATGTACGCGAGGACGATGCCGCCGCCGAGGAGCAGAAGGATCATAGCCAAGATCGTCCGCGCGGCCGAGCTCGGGGTGACTCGATTAGGCACCAGCCTCTTTATCGCCGGAAGTTCGGCGACCTCGCCGGTCGTTAGACCCCACCGCCTGGCCTTGGCGATCAGGGACCTCAGACGGCGCGACGCCTTCTCGCAGGACCTCTTGGACGTCCGCCTGGAGAAGCCGTTCTCTAAACAGTTCTCGAAGTGTCCCATAATAATGTCGCCGCTTCGTGTCTCATTCTTAATCTCAATAAATCCGAAGAGGACGAAGGTCGCGAGAGTCCCGATGGAAGAAACCGAGATCGTGATCCGCTCTGTTTCTCGTCGATCCCTGGGAGACGCTCTTCGAAGTTTCAACAGTTCTCTCGATGCACCCTGACGTACCTCCGAGTCTCTTCTCACGGATCAGCATCGTCGCATTTCTTCCAGGATGATGATCGCCGATGTGAGTCTCTTCCTGGTCGGACTTGTTGATCATTATGAAGATTTTTAGAACGCTTCGAGCCTTTTACGGCATATTCTGCTGATCAGGCGATTTTTCGTGCAATTGCACTCGTCATTTTTTATTACATAGATTTTAAATATGCGAGTAGGAGATTTTTATAAAAATGTATTTAGCGTGGTGTCTAAAATTGTTAAGGATGAACGATTCTAGCTTGAGTTCTTTGTTAGGTAACAGTTCGAATAATCATCTAAAATTATGCAGATCGATCATTGCGGTATCTAAAAATAAAGGACGGAATGTTAAACATTTACCCGACCGTAGAAGAGAGATTTTAATTGTATAACAAGCAATATTATTATAAATCCCAAGAGATGCGTATTTCTTCCTTTATAAAAATCTCAAATAAATATCAAAGTTTGATCAAATAATAATTAAACTGTCAACGTTTATAAAATAAATTATCATACTTACTATTGCACACAAATTTCTAATAATACATCAAAGACAGTTTTATATATCCACCCTCACGGAAAAAAAATTAGGTACCATAATTTAATGTTAGCTATCCCTATAATACAACCTGAATTAATATTTTTTAGTTACAGTTTAACGGAGAAATGTTATATTGAAAAAATTATTTAATTAATATTTAATTATTTCAATACTGCCTTATAAATTATTTATTTGAAACAAATAAATATTTATTTATTTTGAAAAAGATTTCAATATTATTAGTTTTAAATAAATTATTTATAAGACAATATTGAAATAAATATTTTCAAATTCAATCATTTTTTTTTTCAGTGTCAAAAATATTAACTATCATATACCTAACTAAAATTTAGCCATAATAGGTAATTTTATTTCCGTGCTGTGGTTAAAAAAGACGAATTTTTTTGCCTCGCATCGCGCAGTTGACTAACACAGAGCCATTAATTTGCACGTCGATTCAAGTCGATCGCGGCAAGTCGATGAAACAGTCGGGATCGCTTTTAATTCTCTTTCGCACGACTGAGGAAATTGTAATTGCCCGACTCTATGAATAATGCAGCACGAATTCGAAAGAGAAGCGAATCGGGCTTCTCTCACCTTCCGCAACAGAAAAGGGGGTTGGAGAAAAAGGGGAGGACCCGAGTGAAAAGTTTCTGATCTGCGGAGGCCCGCAGAAATGAATTAAATTTCGCTTTTAAAGTCGGTCGTAGAATTACACTGTCGTTCTTATACATATACGTGAAATAAACCGCTTGTATTACGTTTTTTTTCCTTTTTTTTGCATCGAGCGTTCAGGTAAATTTTAAATTACAAATTGCGCCTATTTTGCATAAGAAAACACCGCCACGGTGATCTTTTGTCCTCTTTTTTTTGTTACGTTGCCGAACGTATTCGTTTCGCTCTTGCTGACATAGGAGGAAAGTTCTCGTATATTTTGTCTCGCTTGACGTTGACTTCGACTCCTTGAAACTCGATGCGTACCTACTCGAGTTACGCGAAAACGCATCATAATTATTCATTATGTACACTATAAGAAAATAAAAATATATGTAAAATTACATAAATTACACAAGTGTAAAATTACAATAGAAATATTGAAATTGTATACATTTTGTATTCATTATTTTACCATGTAATTTTACATATTTTTATGTAATATATTACTTATTTCTTTATACGGTGTACATTGAGTGAACGAGAAAACAAATTGAACATTTTTTATTTATATATTAATTAATCTTTCTGACAAATAAAAAAATTAAGATATAAAAAATATACATATATAAGTGAAGTAGACAAAGTTTAAATCATTTCTCCTTTAAGTTCGAGTTTATAAAAAAAAACTCGTAATAAGAAATACATTGACTATTATTTTATAATTCACATTTCAAAGAAGTCTCGTTACAGATTTGTTTGGAATAAAAGCGAATTGTGAAATTCAACATTTTTAATTTTAATTGAAAATTTTGCTAACATCTCTACGGTTAAAACAGACCTACTATTTTTCTCCTTTTTTAATATCTTTGTTCGTGTAAAAAGAAATTAATTTTCAACTACCTTTTCTATAATATTTTTGAAGAGCGATTTTTTCGCGTACTTTTGCAATATACCTACATTTTTCATATTACTTTATTCATCCTCTCTGATGACAATTGAAAAAATTTATCTAATAAAAAAAATTACTTTCTGTAGCCGGCTTTCACAAGCTGCTATTTGAATCGTTATCGTTATCAATGTTAATAAGCGAGTGACGTTCCATTAAAATTTCGTGACTCATCTATATATCTGTTATTAAGCTCAGTTTATGCGACCTGGAAATGATATTACTTATCGCGCGGTTTCACCCTCGATACTCTCGACTATTAATAAACTTTCAGTTTCCGTTTTATTGGTCCACATATCAAGTTACTTGCATTAAACCGTACGTCCCAAATTTAAATTATCATTTTACAAATAGCAGAGATCTATGTAATACGAACGCACTTATAATAATGTCAAAAGTTAAGTCAAATAAAGCCGCAATGTATTTTCAATTATTATTTATACAATGAAAATTTATTTAGACATGAAAAAGCGCGAAGTCCATATTTTAGATTATATTTCCTGAATTTTCTTTTCAGTCTCATTTTCAATTATTTTATATCATATACGGAGGATTAAAAACTCGAAGAATATCAGAATTAATTCAAAGCGCGCATTATTTATTTTTAATACTACTTTTTATAAAGAAATTTATAGAAATGTTGGAAAATAATTTTTCTATATAGTATTATTATTATTATTTGTAACAATTTTAATGCACATTATGTTAAAATAATTTTCCAACATCTCTATAAATTTCTTTATAAAAAATAGTATTAAAAATAAATAATTAAATAATACGCGCTTTAAATTAATTCTGACATTTTTCACGTTATGATTTTTCGATGATTATTCTCAGATTGACACAAAACTCTTTTGTCACGTGTTCTAAAGGGATATAGTTAACATCTCGAGAATTCGTTTGACTTGATTTTTAATTGCGCCAGTTAATCTCATTGCGGTTTTATTATGCAAATTGTTTAATAAGATTGTCGAGAAGAACGAAGAACATGAATCTTTTCGAGGTAGCTACGTTAACTAGAAGATTTAGCTAAATTATCTTTTTTTTTTGTCTTCCACGAAAATACTAAATTAACATTTTGCATATGAAAAACTAAACAGTTCGCAAACAAATTTATATACAAAAAAATTATACGTACGTTTTAATTATTTCATTGGCATAACTAAAGTCAATTTAATTTTCTATTTGAAGGCACTAAATGAATTGATTGTATTTTATCAAAATTCAACGTAAAATACAGAAAATTATACAAATTATACAAATAATATTATATAAAAATTTTATAATAATATTATATAAATATTAAATAAAAGTTATTTCGAAAAATTGTATTAAACTTTGTTTTATGATCAAAATTTAATTAATAATATTTTAATATATAAATGATAGATTATATAATAATGATAGCACACTTTGATGATGATTTCATATACGCTTTTGATTAATATTGCTTGTCATAAAATCTCATTTTAGGAAAAAATGAACAAACTTGTAACACATAGCGTACCTCTGACACTTATATAACAATCAAGTGTCACTGACAATCACATTTGTCATGAATACAGTCAACGTCAATCATGCAGCAGATAATTTATCAAACAATTCATTTATTCGTCATTTTTTCGTACACGCAAATAAAAAAATCACTTGAATATCGCGCATATATCATTTCAATTATTTAATAGTCAATCGAGAGATAGATGAGCTAGAAAAGAAATGTATATTTTCGGGAAGAAAAATCTCTAAGGCAAAACTTTCTTGCCCATTTCCGATCAGAAAATTGCGTAAGAATCGGCTCTTCAACTCTTACAGTTTCCGGTTTTCATGTCCACGAGTTTCGAGATTTCGACTGCCACGTGACACGAGTTCTCACGTGCGGACGCCGTATGACGCGTCCCCGACGGACGTCGCGGCGCTTACTGCCGCGGCGTCGAATATCCGCGACCCTTTATGCGGCAAAACCAAGCAAGCGCCCCCACCCCCAATCTCTCCACCCCCAGCCACCCCATCCGGGACACCCTTCCGCCCGGTTCTCCACATCCAGCGGCGGCGCGCGAGCCGCTATCGAGAGCCGAGGCTGCACGCGGGACGATCTTAACGCGGTTACGTTTACAGAGAGCGATATCGTGTGTTGGCACAGCCGAAATTAAGGCCGATATTAACTCTTTGATCCGCGCCCTCCTTACGCCCCGCGACGATTTATCGACTTATGAACTCGAGATATATATATGTGTATATGCAAGATATATTAAAAGTTCTTGTTTTTCTCTCTCATTCTTATTCCATTTATATTCATATATTTTTTTGAATTCTCTGTGATTTTTAAATATCGTGTATATATTTGATATTATATAAGATTAAATAATATTATATATATGATATTAAATTATTTAATATTAAATATGATCAATTTAACATTAACATAATATACATATTTAACATTAAATAAATAGGTTTAATTTTATATTCTCATAAAGGAACATCATATATTTAACTCACTGATATATATATATATATATATATATATGTGTATATGCAAGATATTGCGAGATATATATATGTGTATATGCAAGATATTAAAAGTTCTTGTTTTTCTCTCTCATTCTTATTCCATTTATGATTCATATATTTTTTTGAATTCTCTGTGATTTTTAAATATCGTGTATATATTTGATATTATATAAGATTAAATAATATTATATATATAATATTAAATTGTTTAATATTAAATATGATCAATTTAATATTAACATAATATACATATTTAACATTAAATAAATAGGTTTAATTTTATATTGTCATAAAGGAACATCATATATTTAACTCCTGTAAAAATATTTTGTAATTGTGAAGATTTTGTACATATATTTTATTTTTAATATTTCTTATTAAGGATATTATATATAACATCCTTAACGAAATATTAAAAATCAAATATATTTATTACGTATGTAAAATTCACAAACTATAAAATATTTTAATGTATGTAAGTATTGTTTGCAACATAATTATACATACATAATATTACATTATGATTATATTATAAATTACATTATATATAATTACATATATAATTAATATTAGTATTATTACATATTACCTACATAATTATTAGATATATAAATAAATATTATATATAATATATACCTACCAAACTTCGAGATGTAAAAATATAAAAAAATATGAAATATAAAAAACTAGCGAGATGAAAAATATGTTCATATTATTTTTAGATTCTCTCTTAAGAATCCTTATTGCGGGATGGTAAATGAAACGACAACGCAAAACTAATTGCGTCGTGAATTATTATTTAGAGTGAAATAATTACACAGTAGGTATTTGTACACATCGCACTGCTCAGTCATTCAATGCAATTTTAACGAGATTCTATCGAGTTCCCATCGATCTGTCGCATTCGCAATATCGTTAATGGCGGTCGGGCGAAATTGTACGGAATTACGGTGCATCATATCATCGTGATTATTTTGTTTCTCCAACCAATTCCGTCGAGGGAGAGAGAATATAATCTTGCGTTCTCAATGCGCACACCTCTCTCTCTGTGTGCAAGACCCGTATTAATCAAACAAAATTGTATCACACTACGCGATTGTAACAAGCGCGCATCGCTCGTTATTAATTAGCCGCTCGTACGTAATTATTTGCCCGCCAGCACTCAGGATGAATCTGCCGCGCATAATAATAATAATACTTGCCCCGCAAACACTTTCTCCGGGAATATTACCTAATTTGTCGACTTAATGCTGGTCGCGACAGAGAAAAGTAATAAAATATGCAAAATAATTTCTAGAATTTTTTTATTCGTGTATTTCAAAAAAAAAAAAAAAAACCGAGCGATCCTGTGACAATCTAAAAATTTATGTATTATGCGTTATTTCTCTCCCTATGCACAAAATGCATCGCACGAATGGAAAATAAATAAGTGCGTGGGTCAGGAAAATTAAAAAATTATCGTCTTCTTGTATAAGCGCGGATAAACTTCAAACGAAATTCCAGCCGAGATCTGCGTATTTGCTTCAGTCATTAATGAGAGAGAATGGAATTGCCTGACGTTACTTGTTGTAGCCAAAGCCAAAGTACAATACATGTTTCGTTACGCAAGAGAGAACAAAGCCTCCCATTCGCTCGTAGCATTGCTTAATCTCTGAAGAGGTAACTCTATCCAAGAAATGCATCAAGGTGTATAGAGTTAAATTGAAATAGCAAATAAAACATGTGAGGGAATATATATTATTTGCCGATGAATTATGAGAAAGGTTCCAAAGTTGAATAAAAAATAAAAAATTGAAATATAAATATATATATAGATCGATGCAAATTGGTTCTCTCTGTTAAAAATTAATTTTATTTATGGCACGTTACATTTCTAGTGTCATATTAAGTTCTTGAGACAGTTGACTCAAATCAAATTATAAAATAAAGATTTTAGCGTTTTTCATAATAATAATAGCTATTACAACCAATTAAAAATATATTATGCATATGAATATATTATTGCATCTTTTTTTGGTTATTTTAGACCTGATTTCACTAATCGATTATATAGAAAGTTATATTTATTAATTTAAAAAAATACTTCAAAAATATTATAAATTTGATTACTATTACCTAATATTATTTTTATTATTTTCTTGTTTTAGGATAAATGAATTCTATTTCCTTCCACCTACTGTGTGTAATTATTTCGCTCTAAATAATAATTCACGACGCAATTAGTTTCGTGCGCCGTCATTTCATTATATCTCCCTTTTGTTGTAATGAAGATTAAAAAAAAACTAAAAATAATAGGATAATAAATACAAATGTGTGCAAAATTTTAAGTATCGCTACTTTTCACGTTATACTTAAATATATTTTATATATTTTTTATAATATATATAAATATTTTATAAATTTTTATTTATCACGTCCGCAGGATTTTTTCCAGGAATGATATTAAAATTTTTTTTGTTTTTATTTTATTTTCATTGTTTTATATTCAATAAATTCCAGTATTTTCTCAAAGGAAAAATTCAAATGCTGAATTTTGTACTGATTTCAAGGGGGGCACGATAAATATGACTTTGCATCTCCGAAGAAAGATTCCAAGTCGCACGCAGAGACCGCGATTGTCAAACGCAATTACGGCCGATCGTCGTCGTCAAGTTATACTGTCGCAATTCTCATTGAAAACTTTATAATACATGAAAGCGAGCGCTTTCTCGCTACATGGGAGGAAATTTCCGAGGCGAGCTCTAGCACGCCAGTTTCGGCTCGGAAAAGTATCTGTTCCATCGAGGGAATCGCACCCCGGTACAAAGTATAAGCGCGCGTCCCTTTGGACCGGGATCGGCCCCGTTTACAGCTCGGCGTAAATCTCGCTTTTACGGTCGCCGTAAACTCGCCCGGGATCCCCGGATACGCAGATAGCCCCGGATAGTCGTCTTTAAGGCCGCAGAGGACGACGCGACACGACGTCGACGTTCGGCGGATCGAGAGGCCGACCCGGGGAATTTTCGTCCGGCGAAGACGTATATAATTTCGCGGGATACTTCGGGGTTTAGTGGCGATATAGGGTGTAAATTCCACGATTTACACGAAACGAAGCCGGAATATGAAATGGCTCCTTATTATCATCCCTGAAAAACAGTGTTTACTGGTATCGCTATTTTTTATTTTTTTATTTCACTTTGGAACTTTTCCCATAATTCATTGACAAATATATATATATATATTTTGTTACATATATCGTATATTATTGCTAAATAAAATTATTTTTATATATAGATAATAAAAATATGTATTATTAAATTATCTAGAAGAATTTTCAGATAATTTTGATTTAGAATCATAGCACATAAAAATACTTAAATATAGTAGAACTTAAGCAGTAAGCGATAAAATTTATAAATAAAAATATTAATATATTTTTATATTCCTATTATAATTTACATTTTTTTTTTAATAGCTGTGTTTATAAGCAGTCTTCAAAATTATATTGTTATCTAGATGAATCGCCATATAATTTTACCTAGATATATTTAAAACAAAATCATCTTCATCTTTATCTAAAATAAATTTACATATTTTTATCTCATATCTTTATCTAACGAATTTCAAGCTCTAAGCACAACACTGCTGAAAAGGGATGAAGGATTTGAGGGAATCTTTCATTTCCTTCCTCGCACGTCAAAAGAGTCTGAATTAAGTCTCGATCAGCAATCGCAAGTTTTTGCTCTCTCTCTCTTTCTTCAGATTGTAATCTATCTAATACGGAGAGAGAGAAAGGAAATTTATTCTTACCTTAACTACAAATGACTTCAGTTCCGACGAGGTCCGAGAAAGTTCTGCGGACATTAATCATCCGCGATCGTATTTTTAATGCGATTGATTAGCACTCGGATGCAAGAAAAATGAGCGGAATGCGGTTAAGTTTTGTAAAATACATTCAATTGAGAAACGTTTACTTCTCAATTGCGGGGAGAATATAAAGACATATCGTTTATCATCCATCAGTCATTGATCATCCCTTATTCGCGATATTGCAAATAATGGCGATGTAAACGTTTCCGCGAGGAAAACACGCAAGCAGTATTTTTCTCTAACGTATTATATATATATATATATATACAATTGTCCTTCCTTTTTACAATAGACACTCTGTTGAATTACATAAAGTAATTTTAAAATGTAAAATAGAAAAATGCATGGCTGGGTGTAAACGGTCGAGCGTATTAAACATTTTTTACATATAATTATACTTTAAACGCCCGCTTGAAACAAATATGTAAATTACACCGGAACGTGAAACAATTATTTCCTCATTTATTCTGTTATAATATATATATATATATATATATATATATAGGGACGGAGATCGACACGCATTACATTTCGTATAATATATATTGAGTGTAATACATTTCGATATCTAATAC